TCACTTCAAAAACAAGATTGACACTCATTCGCAAGGACATTGCCCCCAACTCACACACCCTCCTCAACCCGTCCCCTCCCACCCGCACAGCTACCCCCCATTATCTGCTCTGACCTCCTCTTCCACCCACCCTACATTCCTCATACTGAAGCTCCCCCAACACTCCGCACCTTTGACCTTACTACCATCGAGGAAGTCTCCAAGATCCTCTCTGATGCCCGCCTCACCCACCATGCCCCCTCGACCCTATCCCCCTCACAACTCCTACGACCCTCCTTCCCCCTCCATCCTACCTCCCTCCACCCATATCTTCAATCTCTCCCTCTTCCTCGGCACTTTCCCCTTCCCCTCTGAAACATGCACACATCACCAGCCCATACTTAAAAAGCCCTCCCTGGACCCCAATGACCCGAACAACCTCAGACCCATCCCCTCTGCTCCCATTTACATCTAAACTCCTCAAGCGCCTAGTCTACATCCGCCTATGTTCTCACCTCAACGACAACAACTTCCTTGATCCCCTACAGTCTGGCTTCCGTCCCCGTACACTCCACCGAAACTGCCTTACTCAAACCTCTCCAACGACCTGCTAACCGCCAAAGCTAATGGCCACTATTCAGTGCTCCTACTCCCTTGACCTCTCTGCGGCCTTCGACACAGTCGACCCACCCCTCCTCCTCAAAAAACTACACTCGCTCGGTCCTCAGAGATTCTGCTCTCTCCTGGCTCTCATCCTACCTGTCACAACGCTCCTTCAGCGTTACCTATAATGCTACCACCTCCCCCTCACTCCCCCTCTCTGTTGGGGTCCCTCAAGGCTCTGTCCTCGGGCCCCTTCTCTTCTCCATCTATACCTCCTCCCTTGCCAACTCATACACTCTCACGGCTTTCAACTACCACCTCTATGCTGACGACACACAAATCTATCTCTCAACCCCCACGACCTCACCCCCTTGGTCTCAGCCCGAATCACACACCTACTGAGCGACATATCAGACTGGATGTCGCTCCACTCCTTAAATTGAACCTCTCCAAAACCAGAGTTTCTTGTCTTCCCCCAGCCCGGACACCACCCCCCATTGCTTTCTCCGTCACATCCAACAACGCTACCTATCAAACCCTGCCCCTGCAGGCCAGAGTACTTGGTGTCATTCTGGACTCCAATCTATCCTTTCAATCCAAGTCCCAATCTTTAACAAACTCGTGCAGACTCCACCTCCGCAACATCGCCAAAATCCGCACGTTCCTAACCCCAAACCACTAAACAGCTCATCCACTCTCTCATCATATCACGACTCGACTACTGCAACTCCCTCCTCACTGGCCTGCCTTGCCGCTGGCTATCCCCGCTTCAGTCGATCCTGAATACGGCTGCCAGACTCATTCACCCTTTCCAACCGCTCTGTCTCCGCCACCCCCCTCTGCCAATCCCTTCACTGGCTCCCGATTGCGCCAACGGATCAAATTCCAAAATCCTAACGCTGACGTACAAAGCTGTCCACCATACTGCCCCCGTAAACTACATCACTGACCTAATACATCCAAGTACCGCCCAGCACGCACACTCCGCTCGCTGACAAGACCCTTTCCTTCTCTCTAGTTCCTTGGTCTCTCCTCCCATGCCCGCCTCCAGGACTTCTCCAGGGTGTCACCCATACCTCTGGAACTCTCCCTGCCCCAACCCATCAGATTATCACCTACTCTCCTCTCCTTTAGGCGCACCCTGAAAACCCATCTCTTCAGGGAAGCCTACCCCACCCCCTGCTAACTTTGCCGACCTCCTCCACTCTTCCTACCACTCCATCCCCCACAGCTATCTCCTCCTGTGCCACCATCACCCCTCCCTCCTAGATTGTAAGCTCGAAAGAGCAGGGCCCTCGATCCCCTCATGTTTTGCATTGTATGGTATTGTTCTGTCACATGTTCTGTCCCCCTTTGTAATGTACAGCGCTGAGCGAACTATTGGAGCTTTATAAATACTGTAATAATAATAATAATAATATTCTATGAGGCATAATGAGTCTTTTGAACATGATATTTTTTCCTAAAATGTTTTGGAATACGTGGAAAGAAAATTAAATTTTTTTTTTACAAAAAGTTGTCATTTTATAAGATATTTCCTAACACATAGCATGTGTATACCAAAAACTACATTCTGCTATTCGTCCTGAGTAATGGCAATACCACATGTGTGAGAATTTCCACAGGCCTGGCATATGCAGAGGCCCAACATCCAAGTAAACACCTTTAGGCTTCTAACACACAGCATGGACACATCAAGAATTACACACCAAAACACATTCCGATGAGTAAAGGGTAAACAAATGATTATACCTGTTGTTTTAGTAATGCAGTTGTCCACAGAGGAGAGCATTGATCCAAGTGGCAGGTAGGGACGTGGTCAGCGAAGGAATTGTCCAGGCATCAAGAATACTGTCCATAGTCAGTACAGGCAGCAGGTAGAGATATTGTCATCACAACCAAAGCATTAGTTCAGGCACCAGGCAGAGATGTGGTCAGCAACAGCCAAAGGAACTGTCCAGGCAGCAGCCAGAGACATGGTCAGCACAAAATGTTGCTACTGGCAGAAGGCAGGAACATGATTCATAAACAGGCCAGAGTTAGTACAGGTAGCAGGCAGACATGTGGTCAGTTCAGGCAGAAGGCAGAGGCATGATCAAGCAACAGGCCAGTCTTAGTCGGCAGCTAGCAGAATTATCAGGCTTAAGGTATTGCTCAGGTAGGACCTGGACACAGGAGTAGAAGATTCTTCGCACCCAAATCTCTTCAAAGCCTTCGGTTTCCAGACCCTAATCTGAGAATTACAAAACCCAGTGAAAACCAAAAACGTAGTTTTCTCCACTCGGAAAAACTACTCTGGAGCCCCTTACATAGATGAGACCCCTATATTATCTTAAATCTTACTACTCCAGTAGTAGGGCAAAAGATCAATCCAAGCGGCAGGCAAAAAAACTTGGTCAATCAACGGGCAGAAGTCAGTTAAGGTGGAAGGAAGAAACATGGTTGATAAACAATCTAGGGGGCATGCAGAAGCATCACTGATTAACAGGCCAGGGTCCATTCAAGTCAGGCAGAAGCATGGGCAGTTTAGGTGGCAGGCAGAGGTGTAGTTGAATAACAGACCGGGGTCCATTCAGGTGGCAGGCAGAGGCATGGTAAGTGTAGGTGGCAGGCAGAGGTGAGGTCGAATTACAGGCCAGGGTCAGTTCAGGAGCAGGCAGAGGCATAATGAGTGTGAAGGCAAATGGTCAGCACATTAGGTGGACATTAAATACTGGGAAAGGGCAAAAATTCATAACTACATTCACCATACTTCACTAATATTGTAGAGAAATATAGTAACAATGGAAGCAGTCTCCTATGCATAGGCCTGGTTGGGAAGGAAATTTGGGACAATGATAAACGGTGTATTGTCTAACTCCCTCTCTAGAGCATACCCAAATTTTTTTTTACATTTTTGGCCTGTTTCTCTGAAAGGGACTTTACCTGGAAAATGGAGTTCGTGGAGTCTGCTCACTGCATCTCAGCGAATGCTTTTTGGTGGGCCTTCCTGGTACACAAGGGCAAGGATAACTTCCTCCTGATATCTGAGAAAGGGTTTGGGTCTTTCAGTGGATTTTTGGTAGATAACATAAGAATTATAAAATTGCCCAATTGAAAAGATAAATGTAGACTTTCTTGCACCACTGGTGGGTTCTTCTTGTTGCAAGATATGGCTGGATTATCTGATCGTTATAATTGACTCCGCCCCCCCATGAACATATTGTACTCATGCACACATTTGGGTTTCTGGACTGGGCCATTGCTTCCATGGAATTCCATGGAGGTGTCATTGTGGACTGAAGAAAGTGTAGTGCTACTCTAAGGAGCCACTGGATTTTGAGTCCCCCTTTATCTGCATAGCCAGGCAACACAAATTTTTTCAACTTTCTCATGTCAGTAACCATTACATGGGCTTGTTTTTGTTGTTTTATTGAGGGGAAACAACTTGGATGGGGATTAAGGAATATGGGATGCCCAGCTTGACTTGGCAGAACAATTTGAGGACAGACTTCCTTCTCTATATACAAGAACATACAGATTCTGGATTGTAGCTCTAAGTTCCCCTGAGTGAAACTCACATAAATTCCCAATACTTACAGAAAATACCAGCTCACCTGGCTGCTCTGTAAAGGTTCCCAGAGCAAGGGATTTAGGTTAGCTGTGACACTGTTCCAATGAAAACATGCTGGATATTGCATCTGGCAGCCTTCTCCCTTGTAGGCCTTGGCGGTGTAGAGGTGTTCACACTGTCCTTTGTATCCTGCTGGTTTGGATAAGACTGCTGTTCAGACCTTCTGCTGTACAAGTCTTCCCATGCTAGACATGGTGTCTCCTGGATAAGACTGTAGGGTAGTGAAGATCTCTCTTTCCAGCTTCTTCTCCTGCCTACCACAGCTCCAGCATGGAGGCAGAACCCCCCTCCCCGGGGTCACCTTCTCAAAGAAAAAATTTTAAAGTGGCAGAATTTTATAACGTTCATTATATGCATGGTCATCTAGGGGAGGGCACTGTGTGTTATCACTAAAATGGAGGTGTAACGGAAGCGTAGGCAGGACAGAGCACACGGAGAAGATGGGGAACACACAAAGCTTTATTGAAGCAACAAATGACAGACACTCAATGGGGAAATGGCAGGGAGGGTGATGTGTGCGCAAACCAGGGACGATTCCAGGCACGGAGGGTCTTTGGCGTCAGGCAGGCAATCTCCCCCCTAGGCTTGGGGCCTTAGCCGAGCTCCCTCCATGATTGGACAGCGGATTGGAGATTTGGGCAACAGGCAGGCAACCTACCCCTGAGCGGGGGTCTCAGGCAACAGGCAGGCAATCTCCCCCCTAGGCTTGGGGCCTCAGCCGAGCTCCCTCCGTGACTGGACAGCGGATTGGAGACTCGGGCAACAGGCGGAAATCTACCCCTGGGCAGGGGCCTCGGGAAACAGGCGGCAATCTACCCCTGGGCAGGGGTCTCGGGGCAATAGGCGGCAATCTACCACTGGGCAGGGGTCTCGGGCAACAGGTGGCAATCTACCCCCGGGCAGGGGACTTGGGCAACGGGCGGCAACCTACCACTGGGGAAGGGGCCTCGGGCAACAGGCGGCAATCTACCCCTGGGCAGGGGTCTCGGACAACAGGCGGCAACCTACCACTGGGCAGGGGCCTCGGGCAACAGGCGGCAACCTACCCCTGGGCAGGGGTCTCGGGGACTCAACGGGACTTTAGCTGTGGAGTCTGGCCTCAGCACAGCTCCCTAGGGACATTGGGTTCACGGGGGGACTCAACGGGTAGCGATGGCTCAAGCACTCAGGGGCACCACAGGTAGCTATACTCCGGGCACGCCATGGGGCGGTTCAAGTAAGGGTAGTCTAGGCGTGTAGTAGGGCAGTGCATAACCCAGGGGTCTGTGCGCACAACAGGGACAGTTCAGGACACGGGTGAACAAAGTTCAATGTTTTCTTATTAAGGCATACTCTACTAGGTCAGCAAATGCCTCTTGGGATTTTAGGCATCAGGAAACTAGTGCTCTGTTTATACATTCTCTAAGTTCTCTTTAACAGGTAGATGTTCCTGCATCATCTAATATGAACGTTGGACATAAGATCCTGCAGGCAACTCTCTAAGTTGCAAGTCACCGCTCTCTGCTCAGAGTGGAGGGGAGAACTGAATGATCAGTGGTGTTTGAGCACTCAGATCTCAGGCAAGCGGGGGGCAGATGCAATATTGGATCAATGCTGCATCCACCTAGGAGAATAAAATATTTTTTTTCTAAAGCTCATACTTCTCTTTCAATGAACTCCAAGAAATGGATTTTATAACGAGTGCAAAAATCCAGTTTTTTTTTCTCTCCCTTACACATGAATTCCCAGTTTAATATAGATTTGCCTTAGTGTGTTATGGGTCATGCATACTAAAGGTGGCCTACACGGGAATTTCACTTAGGTTCAAAATATGTTGTATTTGTCATTTATTCAAGTACACCTTATTGGAATGATAAGGATAAAAACAAACTATCACAGAGCTAAAATGTATTTGACAATAAAAATAATGCGAGAAAATATTATGCTAATATATGTTTTAGTTGCTTGCTGCTCTCAGCTGTACATCCTTTTCTTGATCAGCCTAGTAAACATGTCATAATAGAATAATCTTTAGAAGTTATACACGGCACTGGCGCACTATAAAATTGTATTGTTTCTGTGCATCATTACTTTCACTGCTTGCTGCCAAAATTTCACAGCATCTTTGGAATCTGGAAGTTAAAAAATAACCCCTTAAATAATAACATGCATAACCTGCATTGTGTTGCTTGCATAAAATTGTCTGTAACTGATTAACATTAGAATATTCGTATGCTATATTTTCCATTAGCGTATGATCTCCTGAATATTTTCCTAATTTTCTATTTTCCAAATGTCCTTTGCCTGTAGCCAAGTTTATGATACACATATTTAGAACTACTTTGGCAAAAATATTCTATACTGGTAGTGTGCAAAGCAGTATTTTAATGTCCAACTCTTCAGTATGTTCCAGACCCTACTCCCCAGCACTTTTCCTTTACCCTGCTGGTACCACTCCTCATTTTAAATTTAAAAAATTGTAAAGAGTACAGTACATATGTGTCAGGAATGGACTTGCCAATAATGGTGGGACTCACCTGCCTTGTGGGCTGCAGTACCAGGGCTGGCCAGCGGGTGCTCTCAGCAATCAGAGACTCACCCCTGCAGTCAGCCAAACACCTGAAGCTGATTGCAGGGGTTGTATTTAAGGAATGGCCAGACTCACAGTCAGGGCCTTGGTGTGTGTTTTCCATGGGCCCCTGTATCTTGTATCCTGTGTTCCTGTTCCTGTTTCTGCCTGACTTGCTCCTGATCCTGACCTCTGTGGACTTCTCCTGTTTGATCCCTGGCTTGTGACCCTGACCATTCTCTGCCTGACCCTCTGCACCGCGCTGCCCGTGAGTTACTGAACCTAGCTTGTACCCCGACCACTCTCCCACCTGTTCCTGGTACTCCGTTTGCCGTTTGGTACTGACCCGGCCTGCCTGACTACTCTTTGTATTGTATGTATTGTTATCTGTGGGTGGTTTGGTTTGGTTTGTTTGCACTGTGTTTATGTTTAGTTTTGTACTGCGTTTTGTATTGTTAGTCTTAATAAATTATATTGTTTTATACCATATCTGAAGCCTGCGTTTCCCTGTGTCAGTCCACACCCCTCTGGTCATACCTGGAGCCCTGACAATATGTTATATATACATACAAAAATATAGATGAGTCACTCCCTTATATCTTAGTCCAAATCCAACAACAGTGTCAATGGGGGGCTACCAATCATTGACCAATATAAACATAAAATAAAATGAGGACACATACTCCAAGTGCAATAGTCTTTATTTCAAAGAAGCATCTTCATACAGCTGTAGGACCTACAGTTTGATGAAGAGCAGGGATGCTTGAAACTGTGCAGTCCCTATATGTCATATGGATTGTACGTTGTATGAAGATGCCTTAAGAATCAACATTTGCTATGGGACACTAAACTACAAAAGACTCCCACAAATGTAGGCCATTGATTGCAAGCAACATTTGGTAATTTTCACACACAAAAAAGTATTTTTCCTAAGAAATTTATTCAAGACAATGTTGCAAAAATGAATACACCCCAATGAAAGTCTTAGGAGCAAAGCTAAATTTTAGACAACAAAATCCTAATTAAACAAGAATTCAACTACAGGTGAGTCTAATTATTCATTAAACAGATGGCCAGCAGACAGCTGATTATAAAAGGGCGTTACTTAACAAAGAAAACTCCTTTCCATTTCATGCTGTCAGCAATTGCAACACATGGCAGAGAAATGTCACAAGGCCTGAGAAAGAAAATAATTTCTTTACACAGGAAAGGTGAAGGCTACAAGAAAATTGGCAAAACTTTACTTATCAGTCAGAATACTGTAGAAAAAGTAATACAAAAATTTAACAAAGATGGAACTGCAACCGAGATGTCTAGGCCTTCCACGGAAGCTAAAACCCCAACAGGAGTGTCTTCTGATGAGAAGGGTTAAAGAAAATCACCAAGTTCACTGCAGTTAACTAAAGAAGTAGAAAACCAAACTGGGGTGATTGTTTCCCATGACACAATACAGCGCACACTGCAGAGGAATGGCATGCATGGGTGTCATCCACAAAGGAAGCCTGTCCTAAAGCCCATGCACAAAAAAGCCCTCCTAGAATTTGTGAGGGCCCATGCTGAAAAAGAAGAAGACTACCGGGACTCTGTACTCTGGAGTGATGAGACCAAGATAAATGTTTTTTGGAACTGGTGGCTTCAAAACTGTATGGCATCGCAAAGGTAAAGCGTACAAAGAAAAACATATGGTGCCAACAGTGAAACATTGTGGTGGCAGTATATTTCTGTGGGGCTGCATGAGTGTAGCAAACTTGCTCATCAGAGTTGGAAGCGGAGCTCCCCTTTTCCTTTGCTTTTAGTGGAAATTCCTCAGCCCTCATTCCCTACCCCCCCTCCAGTCCTGAGAGGCAAACGTTATCTCCTGACAGATGGGGTGGATCAGCCAGGTTAAGCATCCCTAGTCTGGTGCAGCAGTTTGCCGAAGTGTAACTTTCTCCCCCATCGTAATCAAGATAAGATAGCTTCTCTCCCGGACTTGAAAGAGAATTGAACATTCCTCAGGTCAACTGTATGTTTCATGTCATGGATTATGAAGCTGTTAGTTTTAACTGAGAGTCCACTGACATTCTGCCCAACATATTGTATTGGGCAGACTCAAGGGCAAAATCGCTGTGCAGGGTGCAACTGGGTGGGGCCTTGTTACACGCGTCACACCGCGGTTTTAGATCGGCCGGTCCTTCGGTCACGAGTTTTGTGAGAAGGTCTGGGGTCCGACTCCGTGGGCGTGACGTATTACTGTTAGTCGCGGTCATGCGATTGTCGCATGTTGGTGGCGGCGACCGTGGATCCGTGACAATGAGTGCTGCTGTTGTCGGGGAGCTGCATTTCATTGATGGTATCGTGAATTCATGTACTGCCATATATTGAAAGGGAATATGCCACTATCACTCCCTGCCCTTGGTCGTCATGCACTTTTCCAACATGACAGTGATCCAAAACACACATCTAAGGCCATTGTTGCATTTCTGAAGGAAATTTCAGTGCAAGTGATTCAGTGGCCAAGTATGTCTACAGATCTGAGCCCAACTGAACACCTATGGGGAATTCTGAAGAGACAAGCTGAGCATCACTCTTCTTCCAGCATCCAGGCTCTAAAAGAGGTCGTTCTTGAAGAATGGAAAAAGATAGATGTAGCAATATGTCGCCAACTTGTTCATTCCATGCCTACAAGACTCAGTGCTGTCCTTAAGAACAGAAACAATTGAGTACTGTCCGTGATACTTTTTTTATTTGCACTAACAATTTTGAGGACAAGCTTTGGGGGTATGTCCCCTTCTTCAAGGTCCGAGCAGTACTATCTATTACTATTGATAGTACTGCTCGGACCTTGATGAAGGAGACATACCCCAAAGCTTGTCCTCAAAATTGTTAGTGCAAATAAAAAAAGTATCACGGACAGTACTCAATTGTTTCTGTCACAAGTGCACTAATACGGCTACAATCACCTCAAGCAAAATAAAAGTGCTGTCCTTACAAATCATACAAAATACTAGTTGTAGTAGTTTTTGTTGTGGGATGTATTCATTTTTGCATCAACTAATTTGAGTAAAACTGAAGATTTTGTAATCTAAGTTATATCATTAACCTTACTTTCATGTAATGAGCTAAACAAAATGTTCTATAAAACTCAGTTTTGTCAAAGTTTTGGAAATTGTTCTTGTGTTCACTGAGATATTGATTAAAATCTTACATATATCTTATATATACTGTATACGCATATACATATAAAACTACTCCTGATTTATAATTACCCACCCCACCCTCCAGCATTGTCCCCTGCTTCATCCTCCATCCAGCAGTAGTAGTTCTCTTTGGACAGTCTGCTCATTTCCTGTAAGCCCAGCTTGACTTTTAAACAACCCCCCCCCCCCCTTCCTGGGACATGTTATCAAGCAGCATGACAACATTTACAGATAGGTTTAGGTTGAAAACAGCATAGCTTTTTCCGAACACTAATAATGGTAGCAAAACATGTCTTCAGCATACACATCTTTTACTTTATGGTGTATTTTAGGATATAGGATTATGTACATAGAATATACTTAATAATTATATAGAAATGTAATTAGATAATAGTGGATCATTTTATTTGTTTTCTGATTTTGGTGCATATGTATGATACAGTTGCAAGAAAAAGTATGTGAACCCCTTGGGATTACGTGGAGTTTTGCATGAATTGGCCATAAAATGTGCTCTGAACGTCATCTAAGTAATAACAATAGAAGAACACAGTCTGCTGAACATAATACTACACAAACATTAGATGTTGCCATTATTTAATTGCACATAACATGTAAACATTCACAGTGCAGGGAGGAAAAAGTATGTGAACCTTTGGACTTAATAACTGGTTGACCCTCCTTTGGCAGCAATAACCTCAACCAAATGTTTCCTGTAGTTGCAGATCAGACCTGCACAACGATCTGGAGTCATTTTGGACCACTCCTCTTCACAAAACTGTTTCAGTGTAGCAATATTCTTGGGATGTCTGGTGTGAATCGCTTTCTTAAGGTCATGCCACAGCATTTCAATCGGGTTGAGGTCAGGACTCTGACTGGGCCACTCCAGAAGGCGTATTCTGTGCTGTTGCAGCCATTGTTTTGTTGAATTACTTGTATGCTTTGGATCATTGTCCTGTTGCATCACCCATCCTCTGCGGAGCTTCAGTTGGCGGACAGATGGTCGTACGTTTTCCTGCAAAATGTCTTGATAAACTCTGGAATTCATTTTCCCATCAATGACAACAATCCGTCCAGGCCCTGAGGCAGCAAAGCAGCCCCAAACCATGATGCTTCCTCCACCATGTTTTACAGTGGGGATGAGGTTTTGATGTTGGTGTGCTGGGCCTTTTTTTCTCCACACATAGTGTTGTGTGTTCTTCCCAAACAACTCAATCTTGGTTTCATCTGTCCACAGTATATTTTGCCAGTAGTGCTGTGGAACATCCAGGTGCTCTTTTGCAAACTTCAAATATGCTGCAATATTCTTCCTCCGTGGCTTCCTCCGTGGTGTCTTCCCATGTACTCCATTCTTGTTTAATGTTTTCCTTATTGTAGATGTGTCAACAAAAATGTTAGCATGTGCCAGAGATTTCTGTAGGTCTTTAGCTGACACTCTGGGATTCTTCTTTACCTCATGCAGCATTCTGCGCTGTGCTCTTGCAGTCATTTTTACAGGATGACCACGCCTAGGGAGAGTAGCAACAGTGCTAAACTTTCTCCATTTGTAGACAGTCTGTCTTACCGTGGACACATGAACATCAAGGCTTTTGGAGATACTTTTGTAACCCTTTCCAGCTTCATGCAAGTCAACAATTCTTGATCGTAGGTCTTCTGAGAGCTCTTTTCTGCGAGGCATGATTCACATCAGACAGTGCTTCTTGAAACCAGTAAACCCAAAACAGGTGTGTGTTTTTTAAGGGCAGGACAGCTGTCAGCAACACATCCAATATCATCACACTGATTGGAGTCAAGGTTGGCTCACTCCTGGCTCCAATTAGCTCTGGGAGAAGTCATTAAGCTAGGGCCTCACATACTTTTTCCTCCCTGCACTGTGAATGTTTACATGTTATGTGCAATTAAACCAAGGCAACATCTAATGTTTGTGTAGTATTATGTTCAGCAGACTGTGTTCTTCTATTGTTGTGACTTAGATGATGTTCAGAGCACATTTTATGCCCAATTCATGCAAAACTCCACGTAACGCCAAGGAGTTCACATACCTTTTCTTGCAACTATATATGTTAAAGTAAAGCACTTTTCAGCTTTTTCATGCTCAAATATTTAGTGTACCAGGTACCATCTCATAAGCACTTTGTAGTTGGTTTCCAGAGCTTCTAGATTTTGGGAAGCAGATTGTGTGGCTAACCAAATATCATCCCAGTCCATGGATTCCAGACAGAGACCTAGGTCTCTCTCCCATCTTATGTGTACGGCAGGGTTGAGTGTGTTGGAGGAGCGAGTAGTTGAGTGTAAAGTGTGGAGTGTGTTACTAAACCTACAACAGTAAAATCAGTCTGTATATGCAGTAAAACATACTAGTTATACTCACTGTGGAACCTAAGGGGTTAATCCTCTGCATTGTGTAAAAACGCTGTTTGTTCCTGACTTCTCTGATCTCCCCTTCTTCCAGTGTCCCCCTCTTATCTCCTGATAAGACATATCGTGTGGAGTCACTCTGCACATGTTCAGTTTGGTGTGTATTGCTAGAGATGTTGTTTTGGTTTTGGAAGGGTGCATGTGATCATTATGGGGTCAAACAGCACTGTCCAGAAAGAGGGTCATGGGTTCTGCATCTGCTTAGAGCAAAATGAAAACACCTCCTACAAGCTGTAACATGTGCTCGGCTGGACACTGATAGAAGTCACAAGACTGCTCTAACTGCTGATGAGAAAAGGTATTTAGCAGTTTATATTTACTAACATAATTGCATTTCCATGTTGTGTGTACTGTGGGAGACCACATATAGTGAATGCAGGTCCTGGATTTAATAACGCTTTAAGCCACAGGCATGTTGGTCACTCTTACAGGTCCTTTCAAATCTGGTTATGTCTGGAAAGGAAGATCTTTTCATAGGCAGGGAGTGAGAAAATACTTAATTTGAAGATATCGATTCAGATAAGTTCAGTACCTGGGACCATGGGTCTCACGTAGGGTTGAGAAGAATTTGAAGGTGTCTGGAGTTGTGAGATTATGGGCCTGAATGAGATTGCTAGAAGACCAGATGAGAAATGTAGAAGGGGATGTCCAGGCTGGGTAAAAGCCCAAGTTGCAGAGGAAGGACAGGAGTGGGTTGTGGGGGATTGCAAACCAAAACTTAGTTTAAGGGAGTCCCAGAGAGACAAACAATGTCTGGTGACAGAGTTACATAGGAACCAGCGGTCCTTTGGGTGGAGCGACAACAGGTATGTAACTGAGAGTGGATCACAGTCCATGTGACAAGTGCGACCCAGAGCGGTATCTCATGGACTGCATGATATTTAGGAAGTTGAGCAGGGTGGGCCAGCTGGTAATACTTGGTGAAGTGTTGGAGGCCCAAACCGCCTTTAATTTTAGGAGAAAAGAAAACTGGTTTAGAGATTCAGGATTTGGAGTTGCTCCAGACATAAATCAGCGTTTGGAGTTGTATGATTCTGAGGAAGTGGGGGGACTGGGACAGGTAAGACACGAAAAAGGAATAGGATTTTGGGTAGGATGGACATTTTGACAAAAGTAATACGTCCCATCCATGCCAAGGGTATGGAGAACCAGGAGGTCATAAGGTTAGTGAGATGGGCTAACATGGGGGAAAATTGGCAGAGTAGAGGGCTGAAGGATCATCAGTGAGTTTAATGCCCAAGAAGGGAACACGGTGAGCCGACCAAGAAAACGGAAGGGCTTGTTGGAGTTGTGCAAGAATGGGAGGGGGAAAGGAGATGTTAAGCGCTTTAGACTTCTGAGGATTGACCTGTAGTACAGAGATAGCTGAGAATTGGTTTAAGGTGGCCAAAAGGTTGGGGGTAGATATGAGATATCATAAAAATTAGTATTTCATCTGCAAAGATGCTCAATTTGTGGTGGTGGCCTCCCAGTTCCAAGCCACGGATGTCAGGATGGTTGCAGATCAATTGGGCAAGAGGCTCAATGGCAAGGGCAAGGGGGACAGGGGGCAGCCCTGGCATGCCCCATGCTAAATGTGGATTGGGTGAGCGAATCTGGCCTGAAAGAGTGATTCCTTAGCAGGGAGTTAAAGGTGCCCACTAAGAGCGGGACGAGGAGACCAGCAAAGTGTTTATAGTAAGAGGCTGAAAAGCCATCTGGGCCTGTACGCTTGTTAGGTTTAAGGGGTTTGAGTGTATTTAGGACCTCAAAGTCAGCAATCAGCTGTTCTAAGGATGCGTGTTGTGATGATGATAGAGACGGAAGTTTAAGATTGGAAAAGAGGGCCTCAGCTTGAGATTCATCGAACAAGGTTTTCAATGAGTAGAGGTCTGCTAGGTGTTTGCAAAACACCCACAGGATGTGTAAAGGGTTGCTAGAATATTTGTCTCTGCAAATTATCTGTCTCCGCTTGAAATTATCCAGAGAGACAGAACAAGAAAAGTGTCAGGTTTATTGGCCTTCATACAGAGTCTGTGTCTGGACCTACAGAGTACTTTTTCAGCTGACTCAGTTAAGAAGAGATCCAGCTCTAGACGAGCTTTTTCGAGGGCCCGTCTATGAGCAGGGGAGGGGTCAGCTTGAAAGGCTGCATGGGATAGTTGGAATGTGGAGTCTAGTCTTCCGTGTAGTGACAGCTTCTCTTTTTTTAGGTTGGTGCCTGGCTTATGCATATACCACGGATTACTGGTTTGTGAGTTTTCCCAAAATGTTATAGGCGAGACATCAGCCGTGTTGTTATGGGTTAGGTAATCTTTAATTGCTAGCTTGATCGTAGTTTCTGGGAGAAGACCAGTGAGTATCATATACTGCCCTTCAGGGTCCTTGATTTCTATTCGGGGTGTAAATAGGGCAGTGCTATTAATTAAAGGCTATTAATACCCCTCTGCATTTAGTGTCCGCAGAGGCTGTGTATACTTGGGGGTAGGAAGTGCTAAAGAACTTCGGGGAGTGTGACTGTGAAGTGGGTCTCTTGTGAGAAGACAGCATGGGCCTCGAGTTAAATGACTTAAATGCTTTAACCCATTTTTCAGGGGAATTAGGACCCTGGACATGGAGGGTGAGGACATTTAATGGGGCCATGGTGATATAAAGTTGCATAGGCTATAGGACATGGCTAGCCTAGGTTGTGGCCACCCCAAGGAGTGGGAAAGGGAAGGAGAAAGAAGAAGGGCAGGGAGGGAAGGGTAAGACCTAGAAACAAGAGAAAATAGAAAACTGGTTTTCTGAGAAGAGCATAGACAATCAGTAGTAGTAATAGGCTGCTTAATCAGGAAGGGCTGAAAGCCAAAAGCCGGGAGACTAAACATTGTCCTGCTAGAGCCCCACATGGGGATAACTGGGGACAAAGTTTAGGGTAGCAGTGACAGCCAACAAAGTTCACAACGGTCATGAAACAACATTGTAGAATGTAATGTCAACATGTGCAGCTAGTCCATGCATGAATCCCAGAGACCTATTTTCATGTATATACTAAGGGTCTCGGGGGGTCAGGCATTGCATGGTGGTTATGTAAACTCAGTAACAGTTAAGAGGAAGCGGTACAGTATGATCAGAAAGCAAGTGGGCAAAAATCAATAGGAAAAGCTCCCGCATATTAACCAGGGGCGTCTAAGTGCCCCCTGAGAATGAGATAAAGGGGAGAGGCTATGAGATTCTATGTGAGTTCTGCGGCTTAAGTGTTATAGTCGGTATGGGAGCACAAGAGAGAATGCTGCAGGGCAGATCAAACTTACAGTTGTGACCAAAATTATTCAACCCCCACTGAAATTGAGTGTTTTGGCCAGTTTGACATTGCTTTTGATCATTCAGTCATCTTGCTTACATTTACATTAAAGAGGCACTTGTAGGTCAGAAAAATATAACATAACAGTTATAATGAAATAACCACAAATGTCTTTTCTGTGCTCACAGCATTATCAGTTTTATTCAACCCCCAAGTGACATTCAATCTTAGTACTTAGTACAGCATCCTTTTACAGTTATAACAGCTTTTAAAACGTGAAGCATAGCTTGACACAAGTGTCTTGCAGCGATCATACGGGTATCTTCGCCCATTCTTCATGGGCAAAGGCCTCCAGTTCAGTCACATTCTTAGGCTTGCGCACTGCAACTGCTTTCTTTAAGTCCCACCAGAGGTTCTCAATCGGATTTAAGTCTGGTGACTGCGATGGCCACTCCAAAATGTTTCCAGCCTTTCCTCTGCAACCATGCTCTAGTGGACTTTGGAGGTATGCTTGGGATCATTGTCCTGTTGAAAGGTCCAACGTCTCCCAAGCCTCAGGTGTGTGACGGACTGCATCACGTTTCCATCCAATATCTCCTGGTACTGAAGAGAATTCATGGTACCTTGCACACGCTGAAGCTTCCCTGTACCTGCAGAAGCAAAACAGCCCCAAAGCATGATTGACCCTCCACCATGCTTCACAGTAGGCAAGGTGTTTCTTTTCATCATAGGCCTTGTTCTTCCTCCTCCAAACATAGCGTTGATCCATGGGCCCAAACAGTTCTAATTTTGTTTCATCAGTCCACAGAACACTATCCCACAACTTTTGTGGTTTGTCCACATGGCTTTTGGCATACTGCAGTCGACTCTTCTTATTCTTTGGAGACAGCAAGGGGTACGCCTGGGAGTTTCTGGCACGGAGGCCTTCATTACGCAGTGTGCGTCTTATTGTCTGGGCTGAAACTTCTGTACCCACATCTGACAAATCTTTTCTCAGTTCCTCAGCAGTCACACGGGACTTCTCTCCACTCTACGCTTCAGGTAGCGCACAGCAGTCGAAGTCAGCATCTTCTTTCTGCCACGACCAGGTAGCGTTTCAACAGTGCCCTTTGCCTTGAATTTGCGAATGATGCTTCCTAAGGTGTCTCTTGGTATGTTTAAACATCTTTGCAATCTTCTTATAGCCATTGCCCTTCCTGTAAGAGAAATCACCTCTTCTCTTGTCTTCCTGGACCATTCTCTTGCCTTCCATGTTTGTAACCACACCAGTAAATGTCTAGAAGGAGCTGAGTATCACAGTCATTTTAAAGCTGCCTAATTGTGCTTATTATGCTTGATTGCTGCTCGGTGACATCCACAGGTGTTTTCAATACCTGATGAAAGCACCTGTATGAACCTCTGTTCTTCAGAGTGGTAGTCTTTAAGGGGTTGAATAATTGTGGCAATGAAGAAACCACATAAGAACCATTTACTACTGTATTACATAAACAATTGATGTCATTTTAGTTGCATTTGGGTAGTTACAACGTCCTTGTAGGATTTGATTCTGAATACAATTCCAAATGTACACTATAGTCCCTAAAACCCCTTTACAGCATTGGGGTTGAATAATTTTGGTCACAACTGTACAATAAAGCAGGGGGTCATGAGAACCCTAAATGAACATGGGTTCTAGAGGAGGAAAAGGGTGGTGGTTGTATGGGTTTATGCTCGAGTCAGTCCCAGATCCTCGTAGATAGGGGCACATGAAACTTATACACTGTAGTGCTCCTCGAGAACCCATAAGGCACATAGACTATGAATAAGTGGTATTCTGGAGTGATGGGTGCGGGGGGGGGGGGGGGCAGAAGGGGGGGATAGAAGCTTTCTTTGCC